TTGAACATTGGGGGTATCAGGGTCCTGGGTCTCCTGGACCCTGATGTGTCCTGCTTTGCTTGTCTCGTCAGTTCTAATTTCCCCCAGCTGTGCCCTCCTTCTGTGTCTCATTCTCCTCGTTACTTCCCAGTGTATTTAGACCCTGTGTTTCTCTGAGTCAGTGTTGCGTCGTACCCTCAACAAGCTGTGTGTGTTTTGCCTCCGTGTTACCAGTGTTTTGTTTCCAGCTCTAGTTTCAGTTCAGTATTTCTGCTTCAGTGTTTTAGTCCACCAGCGTTTTTGTTTGTCTTTTGGTGAGTTTAGTTAGTAAGAGGTTTTACAGCAATAAAGCTGCACTTTAAGTTGAACTTCTGTGTCTGAGTCCTGCATTTTGGATCCACCACTCCTGCTTGCCCACCTGCCACACAGCCAACCATGACAGGGGGGGTGTCAAGATCTCTGTCTAAATAAGTAAATAAATCTGGGTAAATTCCCAGATGATGAAACATGCAACTATTTTACTGGTAATAACCAGTGATGGGAATAATGGTAATTAGTAATCTAACTAATTACTATTTCTATCGTTACAACGTCGTTACAGTTACTAACAAGAAAATGTGGTCGCGTTACTATTTTTCAGCAAACAGACGGTTGAAGCTGTCTTCAGCTTACCGCACCTTCAGTTGCATGGAAGTAGCTGTCTATGTAAGTAATCTGGGCGCTACAGCTATAAGCAGCTGCGCGCGGTCTTTGCAGACAGCAATCACTTTCTGCCTGACGATCACTTTTTGGCACAACACCTGGAGCTAAGGGGGCAAAACAAACGCATGACTGCTGCTGTTTGACTGAGAAAGAATAAAGTAGTCGTGGTAAGCCAATCACATGACCACGTCGAGATGACAAAGAAACAAGGTGATATATACCAGTTTTTAAATTGTGCTGATAGGGCACGTAAAGCCAGAGTCATGATAAACAATATATACGCGGCGTTTTTTTCCTGAATAGTTTCGTCACGTTTGCTGTCTAAGGACAGCGCTAGCAAGCACTCTCTGCTTATGAGCAAGAAATGAAAAAACAAAAAACACCGCTTTCGTGTTGGTGGAAAAATTATACACCTCCTGCTGTCGGGGGGTGGGGGGGAATTACGCCCTTGCAAAGGATGGCAAGTGGAGGGTGTATCCAGGTTCTACTGTGTTACCTCTGCTGTGCTGTGAAAACTTACTTTATTGCCAATCAGATGCTCTCCAGATGGCTTTGCATGATGGATTACAGTCTGGTGGTATTTTAATTCTGTCGAATTTGACAAGATCCCCAACAAAGCCTCCACCGTGTTTTACAGATGGCTGTAGACTGTCACTGCTGGATCTCTCTCCTGACCTCTACTTATGGCTGTTTATTTACATTAACAATTTCAAATTTGGATTCATCACTCCATAAGTCCTGTTGCCACTGATTCTCACACAAGTTATTGTGTCATTTGGCATACCTCATCCTTACTTAGGAATGGCTTGACAGCTACCCTTCCACCTTCTTTTTTTAGGGCTACCATTTCTTCTTTCACCCCACTTGTTCAACTCCTCTAATATATAACACTATATTAGATTTATTGTATTCTGGCTTTGAGAATTACCTTGTTAGTGCAAAAATACTATTTTATTCCTGTGAAACTCTATCATCTTTAGCATTTTTCATAGATTAAAACTTAGTAAATTACTTCTCTAGAAAGCCAGGAGAACTATTACTTGAGCTTCTGGCTTCCAGTCTGGTTGATTGGAAGCAAATTATGAAGAAATAAAAGGGGTGTGTTGTATTTTAAAAGATATGTTTAAATTTAAATGTGAGTTCAGTGCTTACTGTTCACACACACAAAAAAGGGGTGAGAAAATGGGCTTATTTTGTATATGTATTCTCATACGTGGTTATTCCAAATGTTCCCAATTAGGTTCTCAATGTGTTTTGTGCAGTGCCACAAATCATTTAGCACTTTTAACAACATGAAAGTTGTGCCAGTTAAAACAGAAAGTGCACTCCATGCTGAAGCCAAATCTGCTAAATGCCAAATCCAAAAGGTTTAATCATTTCATTAAAAGTTTGTACAGCAGGGGAAGCAAAAGGTGCTAAAAGACAAAACAAGAAGAAAAAGAAAACCTTCAGCACAAGGCTTCATTCAAGTGGCCTTTCAAAACCATGGATTTCTTCCT